CCAAGATAAGACACAAACAAATAATGTAGGATTCCAAACAGAATACAGTTTTAAGCATTACCAGGTGTGACAACACCAGTTGTATCACCAAGAGAAATTTCATGGCAACCCATATCACAAAGTTGTTTGCCCACATAAGCAAATTTTGATGGAGGCACCATTACTTCTACAGGGCAACCCATGACACATGATATGTATCTGCAAAATTGAAGACTAAACTGATTGATAATTCAATAGGAAGAAATAAGACTAACTTTTCTACCCTCTTTTCCTCCTCTTTCTTCCCAAGGAGTATAGGGCAATGTCAACGGTAGTTAGTAACCTACCCACCAACAGGAATTGAAAGCTCTCTTGCAGTAGAAATAACATCAAAGCAATGAGTAAGACTATCTTCAATACTTGACTTGGTTTTTGACATTGAAAAAGACTCTGAAGCTGAGGCAGCTGTTCTTACGTCCTTGGCTCCCGCTGCAATAGAAGCGTCAAAACCTTGAAATAAAGCATTAAAGAACATCAACAATTTGTAAGTCATGAGCTAGGTGCATGTTTTCTGTAGGACAAACGTCTTAAAATCAATAAGAAATTATGACTGCGAAGACATTACCAGTCTATATCAAAGGGGATGAACACCAGACCATCCACCTTCACATCCTTTAATTGTCTTTCAATAAGTTAAGAGAAGTTGATGAAAAAAACACAATAAGATCCATTTCCTGCAAAAAATAAGGGAAACATTTAAAGTTAGAGACTTTTAGAAAGTGATGTCGAATATGTTTTCTGATTAGGGGCAGCATCTAAGTATTTCAACAGTGTTGTTGCGCTTCCATGGATTGGGGATGACTTAAGAAAACAGTGAGACTGAAAAAAACGAAAATAAAAGATAGAACTTGAAGATACTTTAATAGTATTCAGGAGTAAAATGGTGTCGTTGCAAAGTTGCACTTACAAGTAGTGTTTCAGATAACTGAAGAAGAAAATTAAACATTGCCGAAGAACAACCGTTTACAAGCTAATTTTCTTGCCATTTCTTTTGTGGCTTCATCAACATATTTGGAAATTCCCAACGAAACCACCCTTGATGCCAAGTGCTAACCACTTAAATTCCCTTTCTAACAATTTGAAAAACTAAATGAAAGTATAAACCATTTTAGGACCATATATAATTCAAAAGAAAATAATTTTAAGATGAAAAATCTGAAGCTGAAGAGTTGGGAAAGTAATCAAGTTCTCAAAATTTATCAATAAATAGAGAAGTAGTGCAACAAAATATGCAGATATAATTTAAGCTATTAAAAACAAAAAGAAATATACCTCAATAATAAGTCTGTAGCTTCATTCCAGATTTCACTAAGGTAACAATTGGCTTTGGTGGTTATAGCTGATGAATATGTGTAAGAAAAGTTAGCTTCCAACAATTAGAAGAAGAAGAAGAGGAAGCTATCCTTGTTTGTCTCTACGTCAGAGTGTGAGTTTGAGTGTAGGTTTTACCTCATCAAAATCTATTTGGACGCGAGGGATGGTACGGGTAAGAGACCAATATTCTCCTTTCTCCTCAAAGCGTTGTCGTTTTATAAGCGGACAGTCAAAGATCCAGAGAAATCCAAGCGATGAAGGCAGGCCTTTCCTCGGCAAGGACCGTAGCTTTGGGCAGTCCCAAATCCAAAATTGTTGAAGAGAGTTGAGGTTTTGGAGGAGCCCTTTGGGTATGGATTTTAGATTCTTTGTATTTTTTATCTGTGGATATATTAAATTACATCGAATCCATAGGAAAAAATCTTTTTCAATGCATATCTCTTTATTTATAAAATTTAAATTTAAAATTTCATTTAAATACAGTTAAACTTTTTCTATTTAAACCAACATATAATTGGTTTTAGTCTAGTTCATTATAGTTCATTAAAGTGAAGGATCATGCTTTTTATTATTTGAAACACCATTGGATGGAGGAGCCCACCCTCAGTCCCATGGCCTCCTTTTAATCAAATGCTTCGTATTTTGCAGCTTTTTGTATCTATTGCATGAATTCGGTTGCTTGGAGATGAAGAATCTTCTGTTAAGTTGTTATGCCTTTGTGCATCTTTGTCTTGAGTACAATGAAAAGGGTCTTTCCCTAAATTGGAATTGCAGAGATTGGCTACTCACTGAGCATGACTACAATTAATTAATGTCCTATGTTCAGCCTCTTAAAATTAGTCTTTCACTAGGCAACGTGCCATTTGCTAAGGAAGTATAGAAATCTGTGTTTGGCTGCCCTTAACATCTATCTATCGGGAGTACGAGCAAATAAACTGAGAGTGGTCCATTACCTGTGGAGGGAACGTGGTGGTGGTGGGAAGGATCTTGTATTGCATGTTAGTTTGATAACTGTTTTTGATTATTGAGACATATACCAGGAATGGTTGGTGATATGAGTATACTGAACTTGCAGAGATTGGATTAATAAATCGTATCATTTTCTAGAAAAGGCTGAGCACACAAGCAAGGCAAAAGAATTGTTAAAAAGAAGGAAATAGACAGTCCCCATAACAATGAAATCTCCATGGCTC